CAGGGCCCAAGCACGTGGGCCATCATCCACTGCACTCCCTGGCCACAGCAGAGAGCTGGTTGGAAGAGGGGCAACCCGGGACAGAATCAGGAGCCCCAACCGGGACTAGAACCCGGTGTGCCGGCGCCGCTAGGCGGAGGATTAGCCTAGTGAGCCGCGGCGCCGGCCGAAAGTAGAATATATTTGTAAAACCAAGTCTGGGGCTGGCGCTGTGGCACAGTAAGTTAAACCTCTGCCTGAGGTGCTGGCATCCCAGATGGGCGCTGGTTCAAGACCCAGATGCTCCTCTCTCCATCCAGCGCTCTGCTATGGCCTGGGAAAGCAGTGGAAGACGGCCCAAGTGCTTGGGCCCCTGCACGGGTGCAGGGGCCAGAGGAAGTGTCTGGCTTTGTACTGGCTCAACTCTTGGCTGTTGCAGCCATTTGGGGAGTGAACTAGTGGGTGGAAGACCTTTCTCTCTGTCTCTCCCTCTCTGTGTCTGTAACTCTGCTCTCAAATAAATAAATCTGATGGGGGAAAAACCAGAAAACCATGACCAAAGGCAGGCATTTGGCATAATGGTTAAGGTGCCATTTGGGACTCCTGCATCCCACTTTGGGGTGTCTAAGTTCAAGTCCCATCTCTTCTCCTGTTTCTGACTTTGTGCTAATGTGAATCACTGGGGGCAGCAGGCAGGTGATGGCTGGAATAACTGGGTCCCTGCCACCCACGTTGGAGTCCTGGATTGAGTTCCTGGCTCTTGCATCGGCCTGGTTGTGTGGGCATTTGAAGAGCAATCCAGCAGATGAGATATTTCTCTCCTTCTCTCAAATCAGTTAAAAACAAACGAAACAGAGCCATGACCAGCACACCTGTGTTTCTGTGGTTGTAGGTTTATGAACTGACTTTGCATCACACACAGCACCGAGACCACAACGTTGTCACTGGGGCGCTGGAACTGTTGCAGCAGCTCTTCCGGACTCCCCCACCAGAGCTGCTGCACGCGCTGACCACGCCGGGGGGCCTCGGGCAGCTCCCTGCGGCCGAAGAGGAGTCTGCTGGCCAGAGTCGCAGTGGGAGCATTGTGGACCTTCTCGGTGAGTTATTAGCAAGGTCCGCCTTAGAGTTCACAGTGCAGCAATAAACTGTCAGTTCCCCTGTTGACTTAAGGCCCTGCTCCAAGCTGAGCAATCCATATCTTAACTCCTGAGGAAAGCTCACAGTGGGTGACAAAATGCGGTCCATTATTTAGCACCCGGCCCCTGACTCTGGTGTGGCTGTCTCCTGTGGCATTTCTGGTGTCCTCGGATGGAAACATTGAGGAAGGTGTTGAGTGTCTGTGTCTGGGCTCTCGAGCTCTCCGCTCCTTTGGGTGCTGGCTTCAGAAACCTCCTCCAGCCTCCACCCTTCAGCCACCTATACTGCCCAGTCTCTGCTTCTCTCTTCAGCACTCAGGGCGCTTCTGATTCCGCGAAGGCTTGCGCCCTGGTGCTGTGGGTGCAGTCGGCCATGTCTGACGAGAGGGCGCCCTTTGGGAACGCTTGTTCCCCGGGTTCTAGAATGCAGCGTGGCACGCAGCAGGCCTGAGCTGAACGTTGGCTGAGTCTGGGCCTCCGTGTTGCTGCAGTGTGTGCGGTGGGCGTGGCTCATGGCGTGGGCCAGACGGGCTGACGGGTAGGCTGACGGCTGCCTCCTGTGCACCTGCGGCATCCGTATGCCTTGTGTTCACTTGGCGATCAGGAGCTCTTTTCTCCATGGGGGCACACGCTACAACTAATGAGGAGAAACATTGGTTAATGATAGTTTCTAATGAAAATTTATACTTTTTAAAGATTTATTTATTTGTAAGGCAGAGTTACAGAGAGGAAGAGGCAGAAAAAGAGAGAGATCATCCATCCACTGGCTCAATCCCCAGCTGGCTGCAATGGCCAGAGCTGTGCCAGGTCGAAGCCAGGAGCCGGGAGCTTCCTCCAGGTCTCCCGTGTGGGTGTAGGGGCCCAAGCACTTGGGCCATCTTCCACTGCTTCCCCAGGCCATAGTGGAGAGCTGGATTGGAAGTAGAGCCACCAGGACTTGAACCAGCACCCATATGGGATGCCGGCACTGCAGGTGGCAGCTTCACCCGCTGTGCCACAGCGCTGGCCCCTATACTTGATTATTAGTTGACTATATTACTTGAGATTTCTTTTTTTTTTTTTTTAATTTTTTTTTTTTTTTTGGACAGGCAGAGTTAGACAGTGAGAGAGAGACAGAGAGAAAGGTCTTCCGTTTCCATTGGTTCACCCCCCAAGTGGCCACTACAGCCGGCACGTTGCGGCTGGCGTGCTGTGCCGATCCGAAGCCAGGAGCCCTGTGCTTCTCCTGGTCTCCCATGGGGTGCAGGGCCCAAGCACCTGGGCCATCCTCCACTGCACTCCCTGGCCACAGCAGAGAGCTGCCCTGGAAGAGGAGCAACCGGGACAGAATCTGGCGCCCCAACCGGGTCTAGAACCCGGTATGCCGGCGCCCCAGGCGGAGGATTAGCCTAGTGAGCCGCAGCGCTGGCCTGAGATTTCTAATATTTTTAGTTTGGCTTTGTAAGTGTAATTTATTTTAGCTATTTTGATGTTTTAGCTAACATCCTTATTTGAGTGCAAATGTGCAATTAAAATGCTGAATTATGGTATTTAAGTACTAACTGTGGCATGATGTACCCATTTTCTCTTGTTTTAAAGTTGAATCAAACTTTTTGAAGATTTTAGTTTCTTGTAGATTTTAGCAGCCTTATTTCATCTGTCACTTCTGTGATTTGCAGCTGGAGGGGGTTCCTCATGCAGCCCTGTCCCTTCAAGAAAGCACAAAGGTGAGTGTTCCGGGGGCAGTGTCCTGTTGACTCTCGCCGCCTTTTCTGTGAACACTTAGGCTTCCGTCTGGCGTCCTCCGTGAGTGCAAATGTTGCAGGAATCTGATAAGCAGGCCAGGAGAGTCCGCAAGGGTGGCTTTTATAAAAGCTTGGAACAGGCCCGAGAGTACATGTGTAGGCCTGATGGGCCGCAGGGTCTCTTTGCAACGGTTTCACTCTGCCCCGTGGAGGGACCACAAGCTGCTCTGTAGAAACTGGCCGTCCTGTGTCCTGTGCTCGCTCCTGCTTTTGGGAGTGTGTGGTTGTGTTTTGTACAGGTAGTGAACCTTCCTGATGAATTTTGTTTTGTATTAGGAATATTATTAAATGGCCCCTTTGATTAATTATTTTAATTTGGGTTTAGTTATCATTTTTCAGCCACATTTAACTCTAAATGTATCAAAGTGTTCTAATATAGTTCATTTTAGTAAATTGAAGTATTTCTGATATGATCTGATCGTTTTAGTATATTATCGCTTTGTAACACCATTTTCTTTTCCTCTGTGGATTTCCATTGGAAAGAATTGTCTTTTTCTACCTTGAAATCTTATACACTAAACCTTTCTCATGTCAGGATTTGAGTAATATTTCCAATAATATTTGCATTATCAAATGGGATTTTTTTAAAAAAAGATTTTATTATTTGAGAGGTGGAATTAGAGAGAGAGAGAGAGAGAATCTTCCATGCACTAGTTCACTCCCCAAATGACTGCAGTGGCCGGAGCTGGGCCGATCTGAAGCCAGGAGCTTCTTCCGGGTCTCCCACACAGGTGAAGGGCCCAAGCACTTGGGCCATCCATCTCCCACTGCCCTCTCAGGCCATAGCAGAGAGCTGGATCAGAGGAAGAGCAGCTGGGATATGAACTGATGCCCACACGGGGTGCCGTTGCTGCCTGGGATATTAACAGGAGTAACATTCTAGAATTCACGGAGTTAAGTGGACATTTCCTAAAACAGCCTTGAATACCAATACTGTTTGGTCCATCATAGTGTGGGATGCTGCTTACTCCTTCCTGAGGTTTAGCCAAACACTGAGATTGTTTAAAAGCCGGAAGGATTCTTGGAAGTTCTCTTTGTATTCTCGAATTAGGAGAGATTCTTAAATACAGCTTTAACTTACCTTAATACCAATTTGTTTATTTGTTTTGTAAATGGGATTTTTAAGGAAAGATTTATTTGAAAGGCAGGGGTTGAAGGTGGAGGGAGAGCTTGATCTTCCATTCACTAGTTCACTCCCAGATGCCTGTGACAGCCCAGGTCGAAGCAGGAGCCTGGAGCCCCATCTGGGTCTCCCACGCGGGTGGCAGGGGCCCATACTTGAGTGTCTCCTGCTGCCCCCAGGGTGTGCCTCAGCAGGAAGCTGGATTGGGAGTGGAGGAGCTGGGACTCCAGGTGTCCCAACAGGGTTTTAATTGGTGCACTGCTCTCCCACCTGCCCCACGCCCTTTGTTCCAGGTGAAATCTGGTAAAAAGAGTCATTGTGTTGAACCTGGGATTGCATTCAGGGAGGTGCTGGGCTCTGGTGCAGCCCTGTCTTGTAGCGTCTAGGACGGGTTGCCCTGGAGTGGATCTGCAGACCAGCTCCCTGAAGTTCTCTGATTTCTCAAGGCCAGCCACTTGCTCTGTAATGAAGGGCCCTGTTATTTAGTAGTCACGCCAGGTTACTCTGGTAATCACGTCTGGATCGGTTCCCTTTGCTAATTTTTTTGTGGTTTTATTGCTGTATCACTCTAAACTTACGGAAGTCATCATACCTCTGACCTGTTCTTTGAGGATCGGTAAAATTAGAAATTGCCAATTACCGATGGTTAACCAAGTGGTGTCATTTAATGGCGTATACACGTAGTGTGGTCATCATGACTTAGAGTCCAGTTAGATTTTATTAAGATTTTTGATTTCCTTTTCCCCCTGCTAACATAATTTTGACACATGAAGTTTAAGGCAATCTTTAGAACCCGGGGTGCCGGCGCCGCAGGCGGAGGATTAGCCAAGTGAGCCGCGGCGCCGGCCTGTTGCTACTCTCTAAGATGGCTGAACGTTTCCTAAGCCAGAAATGTTAAAAAGGAATTCTGTCACACCAAGTCAGTCATGAGCAAGTTTGCAGTTCACAGGCATTTAATCTACACAGAGGAAAAGGCACTGCATGAGGGCAGGCTTTGCGTCGAATAAGCTGCCTCAGCCCTGCCGTTGGGGAAGCTACCCTTTGCCAGCTCAAGGCAGGGTCTGAGCTCCGGCCTGCGTGAAAATGTATTTGTGGGTTGCCAGGAACAGCGTGGGGAATACACAGACACTAGCTTCTTGCTGCTCATTAACGCCTGGGACAAGAGTTAAGCTTTGTCTGAGGGGAAATGAGCTTGAGGAGACACACACAATACCAAAAAGTTCAGCCAGCGCACTTACCTAACATGAACGGGGAGCTTTGCTCAGTCTAAGTACTTGTTCTTCGCAGTGTGTATCTATGATCATAATACAATGAAGTTTTATAGTTTCCAAATCAAAATACAAATGATTCTCAGTTCTGTCCTTTTGCTTGAGTTCTGGTTATTACCTATAGAATATAGAAAGCAGATAATAAAATAAAAGTGACTTTAGGTATGAAAGTTATAAATAATTTCTGATGTCACATTGGAGATTTGATATTATCTGAGAGCTAATAGAGTTGGGTTTTTCAGCCATAGCTTACCATTTTTAAGATTAAGTAGTAATGTAAGTTATTTAAAAGTAACAATCTAAATCAGTAAATACTAATTATTTAAATACTTTGTGCTATATAGTTTGAGAGCCAGTTTTTAATTGTTTTCTATATAGATATAATTTTAATAGTATTCTTAACATTGGCATTCTTTGTGTTGAGCACTCTTGAGGTATAAAATATAGACTTTGAGGGAAAATGAAGTATGCCTTGGACTTTGAGTTCAGAGCAACCATGTATTTAATTTTTGAAGTCCTTATTTTTAGCGAACTTAAAAGGCATATCGCTGCATTGTTCACCAGGCAAAGTGCTCTTAGGAGAAGAAGAAGCCTTGGAAGATGACTCTGAGTCGAGATCGGACGTCAGCAGCTCAGCCTTTGCAGGTAGACGCGCTGTGAGCGGCCCTGGCGGACCTGCCTCCGCCCCCCGCAGCCCCTAGGGTGTTTGCCCAGCCCGCTGTCTGCCCCAGCCCAGCCTCTGCGGCTTCCAGGATGGCCTCTGGGGGCAGCCAGTTGTGGAGCCGACTGCCTGCTGTAGAGGATGATTTGGACTTCTGTTTTAACTTTCACTCTGAAACAGGAGTGACGGTGTGTTCACATCGCATGTTTGATGTTTTCCTTGTTTTAGACTGTTTCACAGTTAGATCTTTCCTCCTTGAGCGTGGCTTTTCAGGTAGGAGATGTTGGGTAAAAATACCATGAATTCAATACTACGTTGTTGGGGGAATGGGATGAAAATTCTCTTTGGATAATTTTTTAAAAAGATTTATTTATTTATTTGAAAGGCAGAATTACGGGGCGGGGAAGAGAGTGATCAATCTTCCGTATGCTGTTGCTCCCCAAACGGCCACAATGGCTGAAGCTGGAACCAGGAGCTTCTTCCAGGTCTCCCAAGGACTTGGGTCATCTCCCGCGGCTTTCCAAGGCACATAGGCAGGGAGCTGGATCAGAAGTGGAGCAGCCGGGATTCTAACCGTTGCTCACACGGGATGCCAGTGTCGCAGATGGTGCAGGTGGCGGCTGTGCCACAGTGCTGACCCTGTCCATGGATGATTTAGCTTGAAAGGCTCTCCCTTTGTTTACAGATAATTATCTAATTAAATTTGTGTGTATTTGATGAAAGATGAGTGTTAAGACACTAGAAACAACATTGAATGAGAATGAGTTTGTTTGGATAATCCTCTCTCAAAGAATATTTTTAGATAAATTAAAATAGATCAAAATACTCCTCTTTTTTTATTTTTTTCTTTCTTTCTTTATTTACTTATTTATTTATTTATTTTTGACAGGCAGAGTGGACAGTGAGAGAGAGAGAGACAGAGAGAAAGGTCTTCCTTTTGCCGTTGGTTCACCCTCCAATGGCCGCCACGGTTGGCGCGCTGCGGCCGGCGCACCGCACTGATCCGATGGCAGGAGCCAGGTACTTATCCTGGTCTCCCATGGGGTGCAGGGCCTAAGCACTTGGGCCATCCTCCACTGCACTCCCTGGCCACAGCAGAGAGCTGGCCTGGAAGAGGGGCAACCGGGACAGAATCCGGCGCCCCGACCGGGACTAGAACCCGATGTGCTGGCGCCGCAAGGCGGAGGATTAGCCTAGTGAGCCGCGGCGCCGGCCTCTTTTTTTCTTTTTTTTTCTTTACTTATTTGAAGGGAAGAGCTTGAGAGAGAGAGAGAGGGAGAGACAGAAAGATCTGGGCTCTGCTGATTTACTCCCAAATGACACAACCATATCTGGGGCAGGCTGAAACCAGGAGTTTGGAATTCCATCTGAGTCTCCCCTGTGGGCGCAGGGCCCAAGCACTTGTGCTGTCTCCTGCCTCCCCAGTGCATTAGCAGGGAGCTGGATCGGAACAGGGACAGCTGGGACTCGGCCAGTGCTCTGACATGGGATGCCGTGGCTGCAAGCAGCAGCATCACCCTCCGCAGCAGATGCTAGTCCTAAGATCCTCTATTAGGAAGGAAAAATCTGAGTAATTCCAGTGACAATTATTTATTAATTCATTTTCCAAAACAAAACTAATCTTTCTCATGATTACAAAAGAAGAAATTAGTACAGCAGAGATTACGCCTGTTGAAGAGTTCAAAGCTCAGGTGCCGACTGACCCAGGTGCCCCGAGCAGTGACTACAGCTAGCAGCTTGATGTTAGTGTTTTCACAGTGATTTTAATACAGTGGAGTTGTTTGGCTGGTTCTGTTTTTTTTTTTTTTTTTTTTTAAGATTTATTTTATTTATTTGAAAGTCAGAGTTACACAGAGAGAGAAGAGGCAGAGAGAGAGAGAGAGAGAGGTCTTCTATCCGATGGTTCACTCCACAATTGGCCACAATGGCTAGAGCTGTGCCGATCTGGAGCCAGGAGCTTCTTCCGTGTCTCCCACAGGGGTGCAGGGGCCCAAGCACTGGGTCATCTTCTACTGCTTTCCCAGGCCATAGCAGAGAGCTGGATCAGAAGAGGAGCAGCTGGGTCTCGAACCAGCGCCCATATGGGATGCTGGTGCTTCAGTCCAGGGCTTTAACCCACTGTGCCACAGCGCCGCCCCCTGGTTGGTTCTGTTTTTAAATGGATATTTAAAAACTGACCTAGGATAACGTGGTATGAATTTATGCTACCAGAGAATAGGACTGAGTTAGAGACCTTGGAAGAAGGCAAGCCCACCCTCAAGAGACGGAAGCTTCTGTCGTTTCCGACTGCTGCTCGCTCAGAGCGCCTGGTCCGACCAGCCAGCCTCCTGTTCGACCTCCTGTTTCAGCTAAGGCTGGAATGGTCGAGTGAGACCTTGAACTTCAGTTTTTGCAGTGAAATACCATTTATTTAATAACTAGTATTTATTTAATAACTAGTATTTATTTAATAACTAGTATTTAGAAGCGATGCTTCCCCTTACTTTCTTCTGCAAGGATCACAGTGAAGGCCAGTTGAGGGGTGCGTGAAGGGTGTGCTGCTGTCCTGCCTTTGGCTTTTGTAGTGCATATCTTCCCTGTATTTCAGAATGCTTTGTAGCCGAAACATCTGTTAGCAGTGAACTTTTTGTCATTTTCCACTTGTTCTCCTGCCGTTTGACCAACGCAAGTGTCTTTGTCTTCAGCCTCAGTAAAGAGTGAGATCGGGGGAGAGCTGGCAGCCTCTTCAGGGGTCTCCACTCCTGGTGCTTCGGGTCACGACATCATTACCGAGCAGCCCAGGTCGCAGCACACATTGCAGGCGGACTCGGTGGACTTGTCCAGCTGTGACCTGACCAGTGCTGCCACTGATGGGGACGAGGAGGACATCTTGAGCCACAGCTCCAGCCAGATCAGTGCTGTCCCATCCGACCCTGCCATGGACCTCAACGATGGGACCCAGGCCTCTTCACCCATCAGTGACAGCTCCCAGACCACCACTGAAGGGCCAGATTCAGCTGTGACCCCATCTGACAGTTCTGAAATTGTAAGTGAGCAACGGGCTGCCTGTCGTCCCTGCTCTTCCCTGGAGGCCCAGGCCTACTTTTTTCCTACTGTCCAGTCTCAGCAGGGACAGCGCAGCGGTCATCAGCTCATGTCCCTGCCTTCACTGAAGGAGGTGGCTTCGTGTCTTGGATTGAACACACTTGTATTCACTCTGCTGAAGCTGAGTGCATTTTATGTTGTTTTTAATTGTTTATTAATTTACTTGAAAGGCAGAGAAATAGGCCTTCCGTTCGCTGCTTCACTTCCCAAATGCCCACACAGCTAGGTCTGGGCCAGGCGGATGCCGGGACCTGGAACACATCCAGGTCTCGCGTGTGGCAGCAGGGACCCAGCCGTGCAGTCACAGGCAGCTGGGTCAGGAGCGGAGCGGGGCTCAGGCCAAGCACTTGGCTGTAGGATTTCAGCATCCTCAGCCTCATCTTACTGGGCCACATGCCTGTCCTGAAGCTTACATTCTTTAAGACCTTGTTGGGCCCTGGCTCCCTAAAAGTCCGTACAGTCTGTTATTAACAGGTTTGCAGTCTTTGAACAGCACAGACCCGAGGCCTCTGAACTGTGAGTTAATGGACAGGAGGCACATCCGGGATATTCTAATCAAAAAGTTTGCTATAAATGTATACTGAACTTTCTACCCCAATTTGTCTCCAATTTAAAAAATTATGGTAAAATATACGTAACATAAATTTTGCCATGTTAACCATTTTTAAGGGGCATTAAAGACTTGTAAAGAATGCCGTCCCCACCCCCTCCACGCGACTCCACCCTGTACTGAGCTGCCTGCCGAGCAGCCCTCTCCCCACACCCTGGACGCCACCACTCTGCTTTCTGTCTCAGTTGCACTGCTGCAGGCCTTTCATGCCGTTCTGTCTTTGTGCCTGGCTTATTTCAGTTCACAAAGTGTCTAAGGGTCACCCAAGTCGTAGCCAGTATTAGCATCTCCTAACTTAAAAAAAATTGCTGTACTGAGAGAGAGTGAGAGGAGAATCTCCCATCTGCTGGCTCATTTTGCAACAACCAGGGCTAGGCCAGCTGAAACCAGGAACCAAAATCTCGTTCCAGGTCTTAGTACAGGTGGTGGGGACCCAACTACTGAGCCACCATGACCTGCTGCTTCCCGGCTGTGTGTCAGCGGGGAGCTGGGATCCGGGAGCTGCTTCCCCGGCTGTGTGTCAGCGGGGAGCTGGGATCCGGGAGCTGCTTCCCCGGCTGTGTGTCAGCGGGGAGCTGGGATCCGGGAGCTGCTTCCCCGGCTGTGTCAGCGGGGAGCTGGGATCCGGGAGCTGCTTCCCCGGCTGTGTGTCAGCGGGGAGCTGGGATCCGGGAGCTGCTTCCCCGGCTGTGTCAGCGGGGAGCTGGGATCCGGGAGCTGCTTCCCCGGCTGTGTGTCAGCGGGGAGCTGGGATCGGGAGCTGCTTCCCGGCTGTGTGTCAGCGGGGAGCTGGGATCCGGGAGCTGGGATCGGGTGGAGCTGCTTCCCTGGCTGTGTGTCAGTGGGGAGCTGGGATCCGGGAGCTGCTTCCCCGGCTGTGTCAGCGGGGAGCTGGGATCCGGGAGCTGCTTCCCCGGCTGTGTGTCAGCGGGGAACTTATCTCTGTGAGTGGACATTAAGAACAGGATAGGTGTTTTGACTTCAGAGAAATTTCAGGTTGTACACAGCATTTTAAAATAGACATGAGGCGGTGGAGGGAATACAAGAATGCTGCATACAAACCAGGAGCAGTGCGTGCTGTGAGATGTGATGTCCGTCATGATCCGTCCCTTGCCTCTGCTGTCTCCTGCCATCCCCCGAGCTGTCACCAGCGACCGGATGTTCTGCTGTGGGGGTGGGATCTGGGATTCAGCCTTCAGCCAGGAGCTCCTAGTTTGCTGACCTGCTGGGAGCTAACATTTTCCTTTGGTGTGTCTCACTGCTACAGTTCTTTGTAGTCCATGAAGTGCTTCCCTGTCCTTTAACTCATCCAATTACTTAGTAAACACTGTATTTGGTGCCTTTTATGTTCTAGAGATTGTTCAGAAAGCTGGAGTGAAGAGAGGACACAGTTTCAGTACTTTTGCTCAGTTTTAGAGAGGGGTGGCCAGTGCTCTGTAAAGGCCTAGATTCTGAGTAAGTTCTCTGGCTTTGTGGGCCGTGCCGTCTCTGGCAGCCACTGTGATCTCTGCAGGGAGAGTTTGAGAGCAGCGCCACGAGAGTGAAAGCGAGAGAGCAGGACTGTTTTTTTTTTTTTTTTAATTTTCTTTCTTTTTTTCACAGGCAAAGTGGACAGTGAGAGAGAGAGACAGCGAGAGAAAGGTTTTCCTTTGCAGTTGGTTCACCCTCCAATGGCTGCGCCACGGCTGGTGCGCTGTGGCCAGCGCACCACGCTGATCCAAAGCCAGGAGCTAGGTGCTTCTCCTGGTCTCCCATGGGGTGCAGGGCCCAAGGACTTGGGCCATCCTCCACTGCACTCCCTGGCCACAGCAGAGAGCTGGACGGGAAGAGGAGCAACCAGGACAGAATCCAGCACCCTGACAGGGACTAGAACCCGGAGTGATGGCACCGCAGGCGGAGGATTAGCCTAGTGAGCTGCGGCACTGGCGCAGGACTGTTCTTGCAGAAGCTGTGTGGTGCTGAGCGTGGTGCACAGGCTGAAGTTTGCTTTCTGTCTTGTGAGTGTGAGTGTGCACGTGTGGGACAGGTATCCCCAGTAATGAGATGCAGTGTGCACGTGTGGGACAGACATCCACAGTAATGAGACACAGTGTGCACGTGTGGGCAGACATCCCCAGTAATGAGACGCAGTGTGCACGTGTGGACAGACATCCACAGTAATGAGACACAGTGTGCACGTGTGGACAGGCATCCCCAGTAATGAGACGCAGTGTGCACGTGTGGACAGGCATCCCAGTAATGAGACGCAGTGTGCACGTGTGGACAGCCATCCCCAGTAATGAGACACAGTGTGCACGTGTGGGACAGACATCCCCAGTAATGAGACGCAGTGTGCACGTGTGGACAGACATCCCCAGTAATGAGACGCAGTGTGCACGTGTGGACAGACATCCCCAGTAATGAGACACAGTGTGCACGTGTGGGACAGGCATCCCCAGTAATGAGACGCAGTGTGCACGGACATCCCCAGTAATGAGACGCAGTGTGCACGTGTGGACAGACATCCCCAGTAATGAGACGCAGTGTGCACGTGTGGACAGACATCCCCAGTAATGAGACACAGTGTGCACGTGTGGACAGACATCCCCAGTAATGAGACGCAGTGTGCACGTGTGGACAGGCATCCCCAGTAATGAGACGCAGTGTGCACGTGTGGACAGACATCCCCAGTAATGAGACACAGTGTGCACGTGTGGGACAGACATCCCCAGTAATGAGACACAGTGTGCACGTGTGGACAGACATCCCCAGTAATGAGACGCAGTGTGCACGTGTGGGACAGGCGTCCCCAGTAATGAGACACAGTGTGCACGTGTGGACAGACATCCCCAGTAATGAGACGCAGTGTGCACGTGTGGACAGACATCCCCAGTAATGAGACGCAGTGTGCACGTGTGGACAGGCATCCCCAGTAATGAGACGCAGTGTGCACGTGTGGGACAGGCGTCCCCAGTAATGAGACACAGTGTGCACGTGTGGACAGACATCCCCAGTAATGAGACGCAGTGTGCACGTGTGGGACAGACATCCCCAGTAATGAGACGCAGTGTGCACGTGTGGACAGGCATCCCCAGTAATGAGACACAGTGTGCACGTGTGGGACAGACATCCCCAGTAATGAGACGCAGTGTGCACGTGTGGACAGGCGTCCCCAGTAATGAGACACAGTGTGCACGTGTGGACACGCATCCCCAGTAATGAGACACAGTGTGCACGTGTGGACAGGCATCCCCAGTAATGAGACGCAGTGTGCACGTGTGGGACAGACATCCCCAGTAATGAGACGCAGTGTGCACGTGTGGACATGCAGTCCCCAGTAATGAGACACAGTGTGCACGTGTGACAGACATCCCAGTAATGAGACGCAGTGTGCACGTGTGGATAGACATCCCCAGTAATGAGACCAGTGGTGCACGTGTGGACAGACATCCCCAGTAATGAGACGCAGTGTGCACGTGTGGACGACATCCCCAGTATGAGACACAGGTGGCACGTGTGGACAGACCTTCCCCAGTAATGAGACGCAGTGTGCACGTGTGGACAGACATCCCCAGTAATGAGACGCAGTGGTGCACGTGTGGACAGACATCCCCAGTAATGAGACGCAGTGTGCACATGTGGACAGACATCCACAGTAATGAAGTGCAGTGTGCACGTGTGGGGACAGACATCCCCAGTAATGAGACGCAGTGTGCACGTGTGGACAGACATCTCCCAGTAATGAGACCAGTGCACGTGTGGACAGACATCCCCATAATGAGACACAGTGTGCACGTGTGACAGACATCCCCATAATGAGACACAGTGTGCACGTTTGGACAGACATCCCCAGTATGAAGACACAGTGCACGTGTGGACAGACTCCCCAGTAATGAGACCGTGTGCACGTGTGACAGGCATCCCCAGTAATGAGACCAGTGTGCACGTGGACAGACATCCCCAGTAATGAGACACAGTGTGCACTGGACAGCATCCCCATAATGAACAGTGTGCACGTTGTGGACAGACATCCCCAGTAATGAGACACAGTGTGCACGTGTGGACAGCATCCCCATAATGACGCAGTGGCACGTGTGGACAGGCATCCCCAGTAATGAGACGCAGTGTGCACGTTGGACAGGCATCCCCAGTAATGATACCAGTGTGGCACGTGTGCAGACATCCCCAGTAATGAACGCAGTGTGCACGTGTGGACAGACATCCCCAGTAATGAGACCCAGTGTGCACGTGTGGAGCAGACATCCCCAGTAATGAGACGCAGTGTGCACGTGTGGACAGACATCCCCATAATGAGACACAGTGTGCACGTGTGGACAAGACATCCCCAGTAA